AAAACCCCCCCCCCCCCCGGCTGCAGCAGTGGCGACTGGGGCCTCTGGGCACTCGTGGCAGAACCCCCCCCCCACACACAATGCAGGGCAGTGGAGTTTGCCCCCCTGATCTGGCACCCACATGGCAGCTGCCCCATGGCATGGGTGCAGCACGGCTTGGTGGGGCTCTGCGCGCTGCCTGGGAGCTGGGGTGACACGTGGAGTGTCACGTGGTGGAGTGTCACGGGTGACACGTGGAGCCGCCCCAGCTCCCAGACAGCGTGCAGTGCCCTGCCGAGCCATGCTGCACCCACACTATGGGGCAGCTGCCGCGCAGGCACCAGGTAGGGGGGTGATCCCCACTGCCCCGCACTGCACAGGGGAGCTCTGCCACGAGCCCCCAGAGGCCCGATTGCCGTTGTCAGAACCGGTGAGCGCAGGGCTTTTCAAATGATTTTTTTTCCAAGTGCCAGGAGGCTGGGCCAGGTGGGGGATGGGAATGGGCAGGGCAGCCATGGGGGCATCTCCCACAGCTCCTCCGGTTGTGTCTGCCTCTGCCCCTGCGCTTGGAGTGGGGGATCTGCCCTACCGCTGCTTGCCAGCTGGCGCAGGGGACACGGGATGTGGGTGCAGCAGCACTAAAAGCGGGAGCTCTGCCCTGCTGCCACTTGCCCCCTTCTGCCTGGAGTGGGCCGTGCCAGCATCCTGCCCCCCTCCCCCGCCTCAGATGGGCAAACAGCATGGCAGAGCCTCTGCTCCCAGTGCTGCCGTGCCTCCCTGCTCCCCTCCCTGAGTAACGCACCTCCCCCACCCCGGCTGAGCAGTTTGCCCCAGCCCCAGCCCCAATCCCTCCCTCTCCCACGCCCCTTCCCTCCACCAACCCCAACACAGACGTACCAGCTGGAGACAGCTGTCAGCTGTCTGTTTAGTCTGTGGCCAAATCTCCGAAGTGGCCAAACCTTTTTGTAAGCTTTTCCAAATTGATTCAGATACTTTGAATCGATTTGGAGCTTTTAATTGATCTCCCGATTCAATCTGGATTCAGAGATTCGGTCCCCGAATCGGGCTGAATCTCCTCCGAATCAAATCAGCTACCGAAGCTTTGCCCAGCCCTACTCTATAGCTTTTGAGCCCTTTCTTCACAGATTTGTCCCTGTTTAAAAAATATCTAAAAGTATCTGAAAATGTACCTTGGAGGATGCAGCATACATAGCAAACTTGGAATACCACTTGCTAGCCTTCTCCGCAACCCCCTTCCCAGCAGAAAACATGCTGCTTTTTAGAACATCAAATGTGGGGGTTAAGAGCGTATCTAAGTTGAAGGAGGGTGACGATACTAGAGCTAAAGTGCCAGCCATATCCTGAGACTGTTCCCTTGCTGGACTGTTTGGAGAATAAGCTGGAGACGACCAGAGCCTGTCCCTTGCCCGTGCTTCATGTTTAGGATGATAACTCCTGGATTTGGCAAGACTTGGCCTGGGGGAGTTCTGGGGAAGGCTGGATCTTCTGCAAGGCTGGGCTGCCGTGGGACTCTTCTTACTAGTAGTTTTGTCCTCATAGGTCTTTTGCAAGTCAATGCTCGGTGTGCGGCTCGTCAAGGGGCTGCTCATGTTATTCATGTACATTACTATTTCTTCAGCTAAATCTCGCCTCGCAGATGGGGTTGAAACACTTCTGTCATCGTCTTCCTCATCTTCCTCTTTCTGCTGCTCTGTCTCAGCCACCAGCAGGGATAGGGGATCAAATCCAGTTTCAACGTCTGTTTTTTCAATTGGTTTAACTGGAAGGCTACTGTTCCGTTGAAGCCTCTTTAGTTTCTCAATAGAAGATTTTACTGTTTTAGGCTCAGGTTCAGCATCCAAGTCTTCTAGATCAAAGATAACGGGAGACTCCATTTTGTCTATGAAACTGCCGTCAAAAGGTGCGTCCTCATCACTGGATTCCTTCTCCAGACTCTCTCTCTCGGAGCCTAGTGACGACTTCCTGATGTCAAGGGTATTTGGCCTTATGCTTTTCTGGAACACATTGGATAGGATTTTTGCATCAGCTCCTAATTTTTCAACAATCTCTCCAGGGCTTGCTTCCTGATTAATCCTGTTGATCATGAGCCCCATGAGGGCATCTCCACTCAGATTGCGGTTCCTGCTTGCCCATGCCATCTGTTTTAGGTCAGATTCCACTGCACTTTTATGTCTCTTTCTTAAGGTTTTACTGTGGATAATTTCTGCTCCGTTGGCATCTTCAAAAGAGGACGTGAACAACAACCCTGCTGAGGTTTCTGAAAAACAAGTCAAGCAAGTTACTTTATTTTTACCCCGTAACAAGAACTTGATAAAATGACAAAAACCTTAAATGTACATATCTGTCAGCTTTCACACAGCTGACGGTGTGACCATGAGCTGTTCACTGTGCCTCATGCGAATGAGGGGTGGGCTGGTTCGTTTGCAGGGGAGCCAGGCCCAGCTGTTCGAATGTGCAGCTGTGGAGATGCAGACGGGAATGGTCTGCACACCATCATTAAGATGCTCGGACTGAAGGTCCTTTGCACCAAACAGGCTGGACCTTCTCCACGAGGCTCCTTCAATGCAGTGCAGCCATGTCTTCCTTGCACCAAACGTTCACCTCTAGACCAGGGAATGGAGCTTCAGAAGGTGGATGAGGACTTGTACTCTACACAATACACACAGCTTTCTCCACTACTTTCTCATCTACAGATATCTATACTTTAAAGCAGTTGGAAATTTGAATGAAAAGATGCACTCAAAGTGAACTTATAGAAAAACCAGGGCCACGTGTCAGAGGGGCTGTAAGTCATAGTATCCCAAAGCTTTCTGCAAGCAGCAATAAGTAATTTCTCAGACTTTCAGCCTCATTTGGAGAAACAGTCATGTACAGAGTGGTTTGATATCTGAGGTCAATAAAAACCACCTTTCCAGATGGCAAACCATATGGCGTTTTCTAATATGGTGAATTATAACACGGCCAAGGAGAGAAGGCTGGAAGTCAAAGTGATCTTTTTAGCTTTGCCACACCACAAGAATCCAGAGACCTGAAACCAAGACATATCACACTGTCAAGCATAGCTGATCCTGCTAGTATAATTAGATTTGACATCACTAAAACACTTGTAAAAGCAGTCTGAAGCTTCATTTCATTTTACTACCTGTGAACCTTCGATAGGCGGTCACAAGTGAGAGCCAGAACGAAACAACATTTATTGAATTTTGAGAGGAAAGACAAGCAGAAAAGCCAAACAGGAAAGAGAAAAATTCTGGAAATTAAACTGTAACATTAAAAAAAAAGATTTCTGCTTGAGCCTAGCAGTTATAGACGCGTGGCCCAACCTAACTCCTGCTG